CCTAACCTGTGCGATCTAATTGGTCTGAGAGAGGTAATTGGCAGGAGGTGGTCTCTCAGGTACCCAGGTCCGATGCCATAGTATCCATGTAGGATACTTCTAACCATTTTCTCTGCATTTGAAAAAAAACTAACCAGGGTCATACTTATATTAACTAATTTTCCAATTTTTTTCCAATTTTAATAGATTGTATGCCGCCCAATCCTGAAGGACTCTGGGTGGCTTACATAAAAACAGTTAAAAAGCATTTTAAAAAGTTAAAATACAGAACAAAGATGAGTTAGAGAGGCACAGCATACACTCGATCTTAATGGGGCTGAAGATCAATCTAGATCAACGGGCATTTTTATTGCCATAAACAAGAACTGATCTAAGTAACCCCAGAACCTTCAACTATATTCTGGGCTGTGCTACAACAATAACGGTTAAGAATTGTCTGAACTGCAAATATAAATAGTATAATCCAGTATTTCTCAACCTGGGCACCTTTTAAGAGCTGTGGACTTCAACTCCCAAATCCCACAGCCAGCAAACTGGCTAGGGAATCCTGGGAATAGAAGTCCATTCTTCTTAAATGGTAAATGTAAAGGTTCTCCTCGCATATATGTGCTAGTTGTTCCCAACTCTAGGGGGCGGTGCTCATCTCCGTTTCAAAGCCAAAGAGCCAGCGTTGTCCGACGACGTCTCCGTGGTCATGTGGCCGGCATGACTAAACATTGAAGGTGCACAGAATGCTGTTACCTTCCCACCAGAGTGGCTTGCTGCTGGTTCAGCCCGGATTGGCTGAACCGGTAGTAGCGGCAAGAATCGTTGCCTGTGCATGAACATGCCCGAAGTAGTAACAAAAAACTTAGCAACTCACCTCTGCTTCCCACCAAAGTGGTCCCTATTTTTATACTTGCATTTTTACATGCTTTCGAACTGCTAGTTCGGGGACAAGTAACGGGAGCTCACTCCGTTACGCAGCACTAGGGTTTCGAACTGCCAAACTGCCGACCTTTCTGATTGACTAGCTCAGCGTTTAAGCCACTGAGCCCCCGCGTCCCTGTGCCGTTCTTCTTAAAAGTTGCCAAAGTTGAGAAATACAGTCAGGTATGACTACGAAACTGTTGGGTTTGTGAAACTTGTTTGTTGATTAAAAATGAAAGTGTACAAAATCAAGTTCGGAGGATTTGAAACAAAGGATAATAGGCGTAATGCTGAATTATAAAGTTAGAACTAAGTTTAATAGCCTCAATCCGCATAGCTCAAAATCACAGGTCAGATAGCATGCTACCCGGATAATCTCCAAGATAATAATACATTTTTTTAAAAAAATCAATAAAGAAATTCACACCAAACTACTTCTCTAGGAGGTCAAGCAAATTACATGACTCTAAGCTATTAGGGGCCGAACTTGATTCAAACTTCTAATTTAGCAAGATTTCGTAAACAAAAAGAGATTGCCAACCTTACGCTTTAACATAACCAGCAAGCCATCTCAAGTTTTCCCAAAGATGCCTTCCCTTTCAACCAGTCTAGGAGGAAAAAAAAGAGCTGTTTCTGATTTTCTTGCTCCAAATTCTTTTAAGAATATCTGAGGGAATTTTCCCACTTGAGAAAAGTGATTAAAAAAAATACCCCTCCCTGTGGAAACGAAACTAAGCCATGTGTCTAAATATTAAAAAAGAAAAACCAAAAACACAAAAGGAGGGAAACAGAAACCCGAATGGAAAACAGCAGAACATTTAAAATACAGCCAGAAAAATCCATCTAATTTATTACCTGATCGAGAAGGATGCGATGCTTTTGTATGGGTGTAAAAATCACTATGGAGAATACGGTGTCCGGGAACAGGAAGCATTAGGGAAATTCTTGATTAAACGTTTGCAGGCTGGGTTGTCTTTGTAATTTCTGAACTCAGTTACTTTTACAATGGGTTTTTGAATTCTGCTAAAAGGCCAGTTAATCTTTTAGCAGTGATTGATAGTTGCGCTGCCCAATCCACCTCCCTAGTCATCCACTTCCACACATCTAACCATGTGTTGATTCCAAGGGTGTTTCTCGTCTTAACCACCAGTTTTAAGTGGTCAAGCTCTTGTGCCCACAGGATTAAACAACACATGTGTATTTAAGAAGAATAGGATGTTTCTAGCGTATTTTGAATTCCCAGCATGGGGCCAATAGATCAGACACTGTAGATGGTGCTACTGAGCCATATTCAAATAGGGAAGAGAGATTTGTAGAAGAAGTTTTGTTTCAGACAGGTAGAAATTCCACAGATAAAGCTCATCCCTCAGGAGAACCTCTCTATACAAGGGACAGCTTCAATGGTTGAGTGATGTATGAAGCAAATAATGCAAATCTTGCTTACTATATAAAAAAAATGTACTCGGGAATTGTTCCGGTGTTTGGGAAATAGGACTTTTATTATGGTTAATTTCACATTTAAATGAAGCTGCTTTGATGATATGTGGTATTAGTCAAGGACTAAGAGAAAGGAAGGAGGAATCCAAGAACGATCCCAAAAGTTTAAGAGATAAAGGAGATAACA